AATGAGTCTGCTCTGTGCGATCGCAATTGCGCTCTGATTGTCGGCGTGTAATGGTGTCAGCTCCGCCAGAGGCAAGGTGAGTTCTGCGAGAAGCACACATAGCCACAACAGCTCATGTGATGCATCGGATGCGGCAATGTATTTGGACTCCGTGGAAGACAGCGTGATGAGAGGCTGCTTGCACGAAGACCAGCTGACAGCTTCCCCAGAGTAGAGGAAGCTGTAGGCTGAGATCGAGTGATGGTGGGCTTGCGAGGCCCAGTCAGCATTGGTGTAGCCTATAAGACTGTCGGTTGTTGCACTGAACGTCAAGGCCAGGTCACGTGTGCCTTTAAGATAGCACAGCACGCATTTTGCGGCTTCCCAATGCATGGGTGCTGGGTCAGCCATAAAGCACGCCAGAGTCGAAGTGGCGAATGCGATGTCAGGACGTGTGCCAATAGCGGCATACATTAGGCTCCCGACAAGCCTTGCATATGGCTTGTGAGCCATGTGCACGTGATCCTCGTCCGTGAGCTCGATGCCGAAGAGATTGACGTGAGGGTCCATCGGGACCATGAGTGCATAAGCTTCCATCATGCCGAAGCGATCGAGTATCGTGTCGATGTACATGGCTTGCAAGAGAGAGATGGTGCGGGCAGTGCAGTCGCAGCAGATTTCAAATCCTAGCAGCCAGTGCACCTCGCCCAGGTTGACAATTTCGAACGGTGCAGCGAGCTCCCACTTGAGATCGGTCATGGTGGTCATCGTATTGGTGATCAGTGTGCAGTCGTCGACATGAACCACTATGATAATGATGATGTTAGAGACGAAGGCAAAGAACACACCAAAGTCGTGTTTGCTTCGCTCTAGACCCAGGCCAGTGAACAGCTCACAGAGCTGAATATACCACTGTCGGCCAGCCTGTTTGAGGCCATACAGTGCCTTGATGAGCCTCCAGACACAGTCTTCACATCCGGGAACCTCGAAACCACGCGGCTGTTTCATATAGATGGTTTCATCAAGCTCGCCATTCAGATATGCGTTTTTGAAGTCTATCTGGTGGATTTCCCAGTCGTTAGCAGTGGCAAGCATGAGTGCAAGTTGTAGCGATGCAAGACTCGCTGTCGGTGACGCCATCTGGTCGAAGTCGATGCCCGAGATCTGCGAGAACCCTTGCGTGCACAGGCGTGCCTTGTACTTCGCAATCTCATTGTTCTCGTCGCATTTCCTGTGGAGCGACCATACCAATCCAACGACGTGCACATTCCCTGGCTTCTCGACTAGCTCGTAGATTCCCATCACCTCTATCTTTGCCAGCTCCTCCTGCATCACCTCTCACCATTGCTTGTGTTCTGGCCCGGCCATCACCTCACGGTACAATGGAGTGTCACCAGCCATGGCCGCCAGAGCATAGAGGGTCTCCCCCTCATCGTCGGACTCATCCTCTGGCTGATTCTGCACGAGCTTTGCATGCTCGAGAACGCTCCTCGGAACGTGCTGTGCACCGCGTCTACCGGTGGTGCTGGTACCTGACTGTAAGTCACATATCCATTGAGACAGCTGACGTACGCATTTAGGACATCCAGCTCCTGGCTCGGGCATGCTCTCTGGCTTGATCGCCATGCTCTCTGGCTGCAGTGGCTCAGCGTTCACATTTGTCAACTCATTCAGGATGGTCACAGGCTGTTGGACAGCGTTGGATGGCGCAATGATCGCAGCTAATGTGGAGGTCGATGGAGGTTGGAGTGAAGTGCCCATAGGCGCATTTTGGCCACTTTTGGCCTTGTTCGGCTCCCCCTTGGACTGGACGTTAATGGAGATGGGTGCATTTTCCTTGATGAAATGCATGTTGCGTTCGACGGATACCTTGCACTTGTCAACCCAGTACACATGGTGGCCCTTGCTGTGCACATCAAACCCAACCCAGCAGCCTGGATGCGACTTCAGATCAAGCTTTGAGGCTGCGTCAACACGCACCCATACAGTGCATCCAAAATGCGGTAGGGGGTCAAGATGGGGTTTCTCATGGTAGTGCATTCATGCAGGGTCGACCCAGGGGTGCTGTGCATCATCGTGCAGTTGTGAAGCCACATAGTGTGCATGGCGGACTCAGCCCATAGGAATTTGAGGAGGTCCGCGTCGAAGAGTAGCGTACGGGAGTGCTCGGCAAGCGTACAGTTAATGCGTTCAGCTTTGCCGTTCTCCTGCGAGGAGTCATGCACGGTCCGACGATGGTGCGTACCTTCGCTCTTCAGGTAAGTCTGGAAATCTGTACTCATGTACTCCCCTCCATTATCGCTCTGCAGCTCCTTGATGGCCTTGACACCTCAGTGAGTTTTCGTCCACGAGCTGTAGGCCTTGTAATGAGTGAGGACATTGCTTTTGTGGGCAATAGGGCAGATGATCACCTCGTCTGAGTAATTGTCTATAAAGGAGATGTAGTACTCCTTGCCTGCTAGGGACTTCACCGGCGCCTTCCCCCATACGTCCGTGTGCACGCGCTGACCATACGCGGTCACTTGCGGGCTTGAGCGTGCCTTTGGGAATGACTCACGAGTCTGCTTTGCCTTTGTGCATGATTCGCAGAAATTGGTGGTCGAGTCCTCGAGTCGCACTCCAGTGACAATATTGGCCTCAACCACTTTCTTGAGGGCAGGGACATGGGCATGTGCCATGTGACAGTGGAACTCAGTGAGTGACAGTGTCATCGTCAATGCTGTGTCATTCGCGGGTGCTGATAGGATCAACGATCCAGGTAGGGGGTACAGACCATTGCGCTCGGCAGCTACAAACACAGTGGTACCTCGAGGGGAGACGACATGGCACCTGTCGTGCTTAAAATGGATGGCATAGCCAGCCTTCATAGTGCAGCTGATGGAGATGAGAGCAAAGGGCATGGACAGCATGTAAAGAACGTCATGTAGCGTAAACTTCACGCTCCTTCCCTTGTGTACAGTGTCGATGCAAACATCAACTTCGCCTGTGGCATAAAAGATACATCCATTAGCTGAAGTGATCGGCTTGCACTCGGTCTCCCGGAAGGTGATGAAATTCACGTGTACTGGATTGAAGTGTCGGCTTGCGCCAGAATCGAGAATTCTGGTGAGCTTTGGGAGCTTCGCTCCCTCGACCTTCGAAAAGTCAGTCGCAATGGCGAATGCGAATGCCTCATCGTTCCCTGTTGCTGCCGCATTCGCACTGGCTCCCCCGGAGCCCTTGTCATGCTTTCTTCCCCGGTTCTTGCTCCGTGGCCCTTGGCCCTCCTTTCCACCATCCTTTGCCCAGCAGTCTGCTTTCAGATGGCCAGGCTTACTGCAATTGTTGCATGTCTTCCTCACGTCCTTGCCACCCAACCTCATCATGAGCGCAGAGTCTTCTGCAGTGCTCTGCGACTCATCCAGAGCAAACTCATCATGTGCGACTGAGTAGATCTGGCATAAGAGTTCATCAGATGCGATGGTGGGAGTGGGAGTTGTGGTAGTGCCAGTAGCCTGCATGGAAGCCAGGTGAGCAGTGGAGAGGATGGTGCATACAACAGGGCGATAAGACTCTGGAAGGCAGCTGATGATGAGCACATGGTATTGCTTGTCGTCAAGAATGCCGCCAGCTGTCGTGAACTCGGCCTTGAGCTTCTGGGGCCTATCTAGAATCGGTCGGGGGTCCTTCTCCTCAGTGCAGCAGAGAGCATGCATCCGTCAGAGTAGTTCAGCCTGTACAAAGTCACCACGGTTGTCGTACTCAGCTATGACCACCTTTCAAGCTCCAAACGCCTTCTTCTCAGGGATAATCCGGAGTTTCAGCATTTCTGGTAGCGTCTGGTATAGAAGCATTTTGATCGCCTCATGTCTGGTGGCCCAAGTGTCGTACGCATCTGCGTACGCCTCATCTGCATCAGAATCCACCCCTGGAGCCATGGGTGCAGTAGGCTCCTTGTCGCGGCCATCAAGATATCGCACCAGCTTCTTCGCCGTTACGGCGGACCTGAGTTGCTCCTTATAGAGCACCCAGTTCGATCCATCTTCCATGAGGTGGGGTCCTGACTGATGATTCCTGATTGCTGAGTGACATCTCGTAGTGGCCGGCAGGGCTCATAACCTGTAAACAGATGAAGAACGAGTGGACGAGGGGACACGCTAACGGAGTGGGCTTCAGTTCTTTGATAGATCAGCAACTCTATTAGTATGTACCTAACGGAGCTATGGTACATTAGTATATAAGATACTTTCAGGTAGAATGACAGAAGGACTCACTGGGCTTCAGTTCTCTGATAGATGAGCAACTGAAGCCCGGGGGAAGGAGCGAAGCGAGTGAAAAGTCTGACGGGCGCTAATCTCCGATAAGTACGTAAAAGGAAATACCTACTGTTAAGTGAGATTGTAAGTCCATACTTAGTCTTGTCTATGCTTGCTATTCCAACAGTACAGAGGCTCCTGAGCTGCTGAAGATGCACGAGGATAATGATATGGTAGGCTTGATGCATCACTAGTGGATAAATCCAACTGGCTGTGAGAGAGAGCTCACATGCATCAATTGTTGGGAGATAGGAAGCGATGTGGGTCAATACATCGAGGTTGAGAACATTGATTGACATCTATAAGTATTCATGTCAATGAGGAGAAGACAACTGTCACACTCAAGAGAGACCATGTGGCAGATGGGATGAATGTGCCAGACCAGCAGTGTTAAAAGTGTGCCAGTAGCCTACTAGTGGAGCACTTGGGAAGACCAGAGCAGTGTGAAATCACGATCACTTCACCTGACTCTCACCGCTACCTAGCCATGGCCACACTCGCGACCATGCTGGATCGCCTGTCTGAAATGGTGTGCGTTCAATTCCATGAGATAAGTCAAACTCGTCCGTGCGCACGCTCAAAGCATGGAGCTCTGGAGGCCTGAGCGCTGAGCGCTCGGCGATGTTGACCGTTGAACTCTAGAGCCTGAGGAGACGAGGATAATCAACGAAGATGGTTCGGAGTCTCGTCCGCTCTCAGATAATAAAAGATTATGAATTCCAACTGACAATCCAGAGCACAATCCAAAGTAACGTTACATTGCGAGAATACAAGACTGATCATGTCCTCCACGGACTAACTGGGGTCATCATTCGCAGCAGCCATCATCAGACAATCGAATCATTAGCCCCACACTCACTTACTGCTCGATCCTCCCGACTTCGAGTTCCCTTTCGCCGCCTTCGCATTCTCCGGCGCCTTCTCCGGCGCCCTTTCCGCTTTCTTCTCGGCCTTCAACGACACAGGGTTGATATGCAGTCTCGACGAGATAGGATCCATAGCCGATTTCATGGCGTGCGCGTACTTCTCAAAGGGCCCACTCGGAGCAATCGCATGTGCAAACAGAAGATCAAACTGTTCCTTGAATTCCGGGGTGATCACGGTGTAAACCTGACTATCGTGCCCTCGGATGTTGAGGCAGTATCGTTCCGGCTCCTCGGGCCCAAGGTACCCTATCCAGTTGCTGTGCTTCTGCATGTCAGGTTTCCCAAATTCGATAGCAACGCGAGGCCCCCCAGCGTGTCCGATGGCACTCTCGGAAGCGAAATCCATGAAAATTGCGACGTAGTTCTCGGGTTTATATCGCACAGCCTCGCCTGACGCGTTAGTGGTCTCTATGATAGGGCCCGCCAGTCCAGCAACTAGCTTTGATCCAGATGCATCCGTTCGCGCCTTGATCTGTTTGATGGCATATCCGAGCTTCTTCTTGTCGAAAGGCTTGCTCAGGTCTCCGCTGTATGTTACAAACAGCATATCGAGCAACGCCTGATTATGGGTGCACTGTACGGCGGCACCTCGGAACCACAGCTCAGCAAGCCACTCGAGAGTGATGACAGAGATCTCTTCGGGGGTTTGGATCCAGTGAGTAAAGTTTATCCAAACTTTTTCTGCACCTTTTAAAAGACGCCTGACATTCTCAGTCTTGGTCTTCTCAGCTTTGGCCTTCTCAGCCTTGGCCTGCTCAGCCTTAGCCTTCTGAGCCTCAGCCTTCGCCTTCTGAGCGTCAGCCTTCGCCTTCTGAGCCTTGGCCTTCAGAGCCTTCGCCTTCTGAGCCTTCAGAGCCTTGGCCTTCTGAGCCTTGGTTTTCTGAGTCGTGGGCTCCTCATCCTCCTCAATCGTGGACTCCTTAGCTTCCTTAACCTCCTCATGCTCCTCAGTCGTGGGCTCCTCAGTCTCAGCCGCCTCAGTGGTGGCCTCCTCAGTGGTGTTCTGGATCTTGATGCCGAGGTCTTTGCCAAGCAAGGTCTTTAGGAAGTCTGACAGTTTTACAGGACGGACAGCGCGCCGAGTAGGTTCTGTGGAATCCACAAACTTTCCTCCATCCGGGAGCGTCGCCTTGTCCCGCGCGAGAGTGAGCAAGAGCCTGACGGATAATTCACCTTGTCGCCCTCGATCAGTCACGACCCCGTCGATGATGAGTCGTCGCATCAGTGTGTCCAACGCTTTGGCGTAGTTCTGCGAATTTTCATTGAGGATTTGTGCAGCAGCGACGGCAAGCATAGGTTCCGACGGCGCCTCGGTGATGATGAACGCATCATGGACATCGGTGAGGAGGCGCATGTGACTGCGTACGGCATTTATAGCGATCCGGCTCGAATGCGACGTATTGCTCAGTTCCAGCACGATACGGTTTGCAAAGATGGCGAACACATGATCAGGGTTTGCCGGATCGAATGCATCGTTGTAGATTAGCTTCTTGATCGCAGCACGCACAACTTCTGGAGTGTTGCGAAGGGAATACCAGTACTGCATATCGGCTTGGTGAGTGACAGTGCACGCAGATGGAAAGAAGCGCTACTTACAGGCCGGCCCAACGTTGCAAGGAAGGAGATCAGAAGAGCGTCTTCCGCATTTATGATCTTGCCATCTTGCTGGTCATCTTGCTTGCCACCTCGCTTGCCACCTCGCTTGTCATCTTGCTTGTTTTCGTAACGCATTTGGTCGAAATCGACGTAACAAAACACAGGCAAGGGTTTAAGTGCACTCGTTAAGCGAAACGAGGACGCGTCTGGCCCAGAAGAAGCGAGTTCATACACGGAGGAGTTCGTGTCCAAGAGCATATACCAAAATTGGATGCCATGCGGGAAGCTAAATTCGTCTGCGGCCTTGATGATCCGCTGAAGAGCGATGAGCGACATCTTTCGCTGAGGACCTCTCGGGCCTTTCGGACCGCGAAGCAGGGCGGGATCGTTGAGTTCTGTACACTCGTCGAGACTTAGAAGGAACCTCTGATACCCTAGACGTTGCACAGAGTCCGCGAGCTTATCGAAAGCCGGCTTCGCGAGAATTCTGAACAAATGCTGGTGCCAGCGGGTGACGCTGGTTCCGGATTCTTCATCTCCGGCGTTGTCATCAGCTTCCGCTGCATCAGTGCTGACAGTGATGTTGTGCTCTGATCTCAAGGTAAACAATTCCTCCTTGAACGCAGTCAGCCGCTCTGTCGTAAGTTTTTTCACATCTTCAAAGTGACTGTGGCGACTTGAACCGTCGAGATCGGTTGGATTTTCGATAGACCAGGCTTTGATCCAGCCCTCCAGATCGGCAGGTGCTGTTTTATGCAAGACCTCCACGAGCGCACCGAGAAAAGCAGCCGCCTTCTCCTCTGCCTGTGAGTCTGACTGAGCGACGCACGTCAAGGGGTATCATACGAAGAACTCACCAGGAAGGTGGACGGCCCATCGAGCCCATCAAAGAACTTTCGGTTGACGTCACGAGGAGGCCATCCTGAGGTTGGCAGTTCGTCCTCTCGGAAACAAACACAGAATGCAGGCATCTGTCGTTCATGTCCTTCGATCAGTGAGCGTACGACAGGCAAAACAATCGCACTCACCCGATGCCCTAGCTCCCACGCCAAACGAGTCTTTCCTGTTCCGCTAGCTTGAACGAAGGGTATCATGCGACCGTAGTATATATCGTTGTCGTATATTTTCGCATAAATGTCCAAGGCTTCTACAAAGAGTTCATCGAAGCGTCCGCGGAACTTTACATGGAAGGCCTCGTCCAGTCGCTTTTGCTGCTCGGCTCTATAGAATGATCACAACTAGAACGTAAGTGTCGGGCCGACAGTGAGGGAACGAGTTGACGTACATCGTCTCAATCGCGGCAGGCGGCTGTTCGCGTTCTGCGATGATGTCGAACATCGTTCAGTACTAGTAACATGAGAAATGAACAGACATACCACAGGCACATAGAAGAAATGTCGTGATATCGGTCTTGAGCATCAGTTCGTCCAGTTGATTGTTTGGCAGGGGCTGGCGTCTCTGCCAACCATTCGCGCCACCATCCTGGAATAGAGCTGCCCGCAGTCCAGGGGGAATACTATCGCGCGGGAGACTTGAATTTAGAATGTGACGGTATGCAGAGTTGAGAAATCTTCTGCCACTTCCAGCTCCATCTTCGAGACTGTCCTTGAGATAAATTCTCCCAGACTCCCATAGCACTTTGAGGTCAGGTGGCAACTCGGCCTCTACGCTTCCAGAAGATGCGCTATCTTTCAGACTGAGCTGAGAAAGGTAGGAAGTCACTTGATCGATATCTGGCGAATCTTGCATGCTCGACATGTGGATAGATATTCTGATATGCGATGTGGAGAGGAGAGAAAGAGAAGATGAGTGTGCTGTCTGCCTACTGCCCACTGAAGAGTCGCATTTATATATGTACGACGATGTGCCACAGCCTGGGAATTTCATCAGTGGCGTCCGTTGTTCGTGCCGAGCTGTTGTTCTTTCGGCACGAGTGGCACAAAACCTCTTGACACTCCGTTCCTGCCGAACTATTGTTCTCTCGGCATGAGTGGCACGGTGCCACTCTCATGAAGGTCCGACCTATGGTGCAGATTCCGGCGGAATCTGCCGGCGGATTCCGCCGGATTTCTACCTCGGAAGTAAGGTGGCTCACCGGCAATTTCTTGTAACCTACATATGTTTTGGAATGTCTAGCACGAAATCCTGTAACAAAGTCACTCACCAGCAATCTTTGGTGATGTAGATACATTTCTGAATTGCTAGCATGAAATCCTGGTAGCTCACCTGCAATTGTTAGTGACCTCAATACATTTTTGAATTTCAAGGTAGCTCACCTGCAATTGTTGGTGACCTAAATACATTTTTGAATTTCAAGGTAGCTCACCTGCAATTGTTGGTGACCTAAATACATTTTTCAAGGTAGCTCACCAGCAATTTCTGTTGACCTAGACACATTTTTGAATTTCTTTCATGAAATCCTCATAGCTCACCAGCAGTTTCTGGTATGCTAGACATGTTTCTGGATTTCTATCATAAAAATCCTTGTAGCTCACCAGCAATTGCAGGTAACCTAGGCAGTCTTTCTATTATGAAATCCTTATAGCCACCAGCAATTGCAGGTAACCTAGACAGTCTTTCTACCATGAAATTCTTATAGCCCACCAGCAATTGCAGGTAACCTAGGCCATCTTTTGAGAAGCAGCATCAATAATGCACAGTACTTCTTCAACATGCCTATGGACTGAAATCTGCTGTTGATGGGCTTCTACCATGAAATTCACTAAGCAAGGTGGCTTAATGGTAAATTCTTGTAATCTAGACATGAAATTCTGGAAGCAAGGTAGCTCACCAGCAATTTCTGATAACATTAATGGATTTCGCTGTACAAATCCAGCAATCTGTCAGATTCACCAAAAATTCAAAAACATGTCTGTGTTAACAGAGTTTGCTGGTGAGCTACTTTGGTGCTGGAAGTTCATGCTAGAAATTCAAAAATGTGTCTTAGATTGCCAGAAATTGCCAGTGAGCTACAAGAAGTTCATGGTAGAAATATAAAAACATGTTTAAGTCACCAGAAATTGCAGGTGAGCTACCTTACTACCAGGATTTCATGCTACAGCATATCTAGTTTAGCAGAAATTGCCAGTGACCTACCAGGATTTCATGCTAGCAATTCAGAAATGTATCTACATCACCAAAGATTGCTGGTGAGTGACTTTGTTACAGGATTTCGTGCTAGACATTCCAAAACATATGTAGGTTACAAGAAATTGCCGGTGAGCCACCTTACTTCCGAGGTAGAAATCCGGCAGAATTCGCCAGCACATATCCGCCAGAATCTGCATCATAGGTTGGTCGCTCTCCCACTGGATGACTTTCCGTAGGAATTTAGAACTGTTTTGTTCCAGATGACTGAGTCTGAAAAATGTGATGCCAAAGCTGTTCCAGACCATAACACAGTTTCGAACCCAACTAGGTACGACTTTGAATATGACTTTTCCAGATCATAGCCACCCGCATGTATCCCACTTATTCCTGCATGCATTTTATAAGCAGTGCTGCTGCCATGCCTTGTTCAACATTGGAGACATAAGCCATGATGTAAGGACCCATGTCATTGAAGTTGACATGGCTCTGCCTGTTCAAGTCCATCTCAATGCTGTGCGGTGAAGGACATTCAACAAAAAAGATGCGCGTCGCATCGTTGATCACGAGAGCATGACAGGCCTCCGGGCATTGGCAGCGCTGCAGCCGGATCATCATCACCACAAATTGGGTGGTGCATGACGTTGAAAAAGGCATTGAAGCTGTCTGGAAAGCCTCAGAGACATCGGGAGAGGGGGGCACCCCCCTCTCCAGATTCGTGCATTTGGAACAAGCGTCGGAGTTTAAAAATGTCATGCTGTCATGCTGGCTAAATGAGAACGAAGGACCTGTGTGGTCCGGCAGATTCCACTGGATGTGAGGAGATCGCTGAAGGCCACCGCTGTAAGCCATTGCAAGGCTGAAGAGTGGAACCATAAGACGAGCAGTGAGAATCGATAGTTGCTGATGTTATAAATTTTAAGACGTGCTGCATGAACTCAGCCCAGTGCCTGGGAGCATTCTTCAGTGTTGTGTGTGAAGTGGTTTTCCTTCACACGGACATGTTCAGTGATCGCGCGAAGCTTGAAGTCATTTGTCTTGCCGCATGTATCATAACCTGCGCATCATCTGAAGCTATCCACCTCTTCAGATGCATCGTGATCTGGCTTCGCACGGACATGTTCAGTGATGCACGTGAACCCCATGTCATGAAGGTCTGAAGGTCTGAAGCTTGAAGCCATCTTTCCTCCCGTATGTGTCCTAACATTCATGGTTCTGACTTAAGGCCCCATTTTCACAAGGAAACCTGTCGTATCTTGACCGCTTCAGCCATTTACAGGAAGCTGATTCTATTTTTAAAGTCATTTTAATTGCTCATTATCTCCCCAGATCTCCACTTGTCTGCACGCGCCTATCGCCTTGATGGGCGCTTAGTTCAGTAGTCATGCAGAAAGGCTGCTCAGACACAAGAAACGTGAAAGTGCCGCACTTGGCTGCTTTATCTGCGTCAGTAGGGGGTGCCAACAACTTAGCTGAATGCGCAGGCTATACGACTTGAAGGCACCACTGACAGGAATACGATGTAACATGAAAAAATAGTAAATCATGGAGATTATGTGCTACTACAGATTAGTACTATAGCTGTATCATACTAGTGCATCTTTCAGTCTAGTAGTGCCTTCAGACTGTGGCCTTCAGTCTGGTGCCTTTAGAGTGTTGTAGGATCATATGCTTCAATGCACCAGTGACTTCAGCACACAATCTTATTGTCTATGTGTGCTGGTGAGTTGTCTTCAAGGTGGAGTCTTCAGGCCATTGTCATCAGAGGGTGGCCTGAAGGACGGCCAAGCCATCGCTTCAGAGTGTCATTATCAGATTGTTGCCTTCCGATGCACGGTGTGCACCACCTTCAGACGACTGCCTTCAGGCACTGATTACCACTGCAGCATGCAGATCACAGCTGGTGACTGGTATACCATCTGGCCAGCCAGGACAACACATCAGAGTGAACGCAACGCAGTGTGAACAAAGAGAGGATGTGTACCTGACACGCTTGCCAGCTGGCTTCAGACCAACGACCCTATCCGGCTATCTGGCATAATCTGGTGGATTCGGCCGGACCACGCAGGTCCAACCTTCATGGCTAAACTGCGGCAAGCAATCTGGAACAGATGTGTGTTCTAAAGTTGTATCTAAACGGCCTACGGAAAGTCATCCACTCTCTTGTTCTCTCGGCACGTGAGTGGCACGGAACCCCCAGACACTTCTAATTTGCCATCTGATCGCCCCGCGGCGGGGCAGGGTGTGACGTTCACAGCTACTTTTGGTAGTTGGTGGCGTCACACGAGCTAGAGCGTCACGTGCCAGGAATAGACAGGTTTCAAGTATCTGAAATTCCCGTAATACGAGCGCTGCCCTACACGAGAGGATTCGGGTCTCCTTATATACGTAGAGATTACCTGTAAATTTTACGGGGTTCAACTAGAAGTAGGGCAGTAAAGAACGTGAAACGAATGAGTAACGAGCGGGGGTTGGCTAAATAAGGAAATAACGGAGCTACCTCTGAAACGAGGTTGTGGCTAAGAGAACCAGTCTCGGCGCTCTACGGAGCGCGCCGTTACATACGCCCTCCAGCCATCGTATACGATGGATTAGCGTAAGTCAATTGGTGTCCATGCGGTTAGCCTCGACGACGTCCTTGTTCTTCTCCGCAGTGGCTTGCGCTTTACGCGTGATTTTATTGACGGTGACCGAGCTTCCCCGAGGCTGGGCCAAGGCGATCGGCGTTACCGTGGATGGGCCGGAAGCGGCAATCGTTGGGCTAGGGAAAGCCGACGCGGTGGCTGATTTTACCGTAGAGTTCGCAGGCGCCGAGACAGACGCGGTAGTAGACGAACCGGCGCGAACCGCAGTTTTGTTAAGCGAAGCGCCACCGGAGCGGGTCGCGTCGTTCCTGGAAAGGAAAGGGTCTTGCCCAGATAGGAAAGCAGGGCCACTCGAGTGCCTTTCGACCTTTCGTCGCTTCCTCTTCTCCTGCCTCTCTTCGTACATCTCCTGCGAGCGTTCCTTTTGACGGTGACTGGCGTCCGCAGCATCTACAATCGCATTCAAGGCAATTGCATGGGTACGAGTCGTGAAAAAGCGTGAAAGGCCATCGGGGTCAGGGGGAGCTGAAGTCAGGGGTGTTTCAGAGGCTGTGCGCTCTGGAGCGTAGTCCAGCGGAAGGCAAGTGCCATGGATGTGAAGAGACTGGTCCACTGGGTCTAGTTCCACGAACTGATAGCAGCACGCCTCGTCTCTGGCCCACAGCTGCTGAAAGTCTTCATAACCGCCTGGCAAAGGTGCGTCGCGAGTATAGCCCGATTCGCGCAAGGCGCGATCATAGAGGATGTACTTTCGGACCTGCGAGGATGTGTATTCTTGCACCACATTAGCAGCAGCATCACGGAGTTGATAGTCCCCATTCTGAGCAATGGTGACTAGAGAGTGGTGGAGTGCGCCGAGTGCCATGAAGGTGATGAGTGCGAAGGCCGCTGAGACAAAATAGAGAGGGTAGGTGGAAGGCAATTGTACCGGAGGGTCTGCGCGACGATCGAGGAGCTTGGACGCGGAGGAAGCCAGTGTTCTTCGTCCCTTTATATAGCTTGTACTCTTGTCTTCATAACCGATACTCCGAGGGTTCCTGTGCGAGCCTAAAATAATCAGGCCTCCTAAAAATGTTTGAGGGTCGTCTGGGATCTCTCCCGATCCATCGGACAGCTGCTCCACATCGTCAATGCCTAATAATTCGAAATAAGTGCGAAGGGCATCCAATGACT